TTGAGAGAGGGGGAGGGAGGTAGACAGAGAGAGAGAGAGAGAAACACAGATGTGAGAGAGAAACATCTGTTGGTTGCCTCTCATACTGTCTCTGACCAGGAACTGAACCAGCAACATAGCATGTGCCTGGATCAGGAATCAAACCTTTGACCTATCTATCAGTCTATGGGACAATGCTCCAACCACTGAGCCACCACACTGGACAGGGCGAGGTATTAACTGTTTATCAATGATATAAGTTACAAATATTTTTATCAATTTTCAGTTGTTTTTGACTTCATTTGTGATGGTTTTTTGCTATGCAAAATTCTATTTTATGGAGTTGAAGTCATTGATCTTTTCTATTATTGTTTCTGGATTTGGAAGCAACTTACACCCAAGTTATTTTCTAGTATTTGTATGGTTTCACTTTTTAAATTTAGATTCAAATTTATTTACTTTTTAAAATTTTATTTGTATATTTTTGAGAGAGGGTAAGGGAGGGAGAAAGAGAGGCAGGGAGAAACATCAATGTGTGGTTGCCTCTCATGCTCCCCTGACTGGGGACCTGGTGCTACAACCCAGGCATGTGCCCTGACTAGGAATAGAACTGGTGACTCCCTTTGGTTCACAGGCTGGCACTCATTTCACTTAGCCACACCAGCCAGGGCTAGACCTGACTTTATTTGGAGTTTAATTTTTGGTGTAAGATATAGATCTAATTGTAGCCCTTTTCAGTTGGCTACTCAGTTGTCCAAGCACCATAAAAAAAAAATTACCTTTGTTTCAGTGATTTTAGATGCTGACTTTATCATATACTAAATTTCTACTTGTATTTCTGTCTGTTTCTGGGCTTTCTATTTTGTCATGTACTGGTATCATGCTTTTTCAGACTGGAATATTTTTAACTCGTGTTCTATTGTGTGTGGTACATCTGGTTCCCACATATACCTATCATTTTTCAGTGTTTCCCTGGCTTTTCATGCAGGTTGATTTTTCTGTATGATTTTAAGATTATCAGCCTTACCAGATCTTTAAAGAAGTTTATTGTTACAAATTTAGAGATAGCTGACATCTTTATGATATTGAGTTATTTTATCCAAGCGCCAAGGATGCCTTTACACTTTTTCAAATCTACTTTTACTTTGATACTTTTCAGGTTTCTTAAGATGTTTTATCTGTTTTGGTTCATTTTAATTTTATTGTAGCAATATAGAAATTAGTGTGTCTTTTTTTTCATGTCATGTGAAGTAATGTTCTGTAATAGAACAAGAATAAATCAGGTAGGACTATTGAGTAGGACCCTATAGTTTAAGTTTTCTATTCTCTTCATTGAAATGTACATTATAATTATTTTTGTACAGTCACGTACCACCTAATCATTTTTTGGTCAGTGGCGGATTACATATACAATGGTAGTTTATAAGATTATAATGGTGCTGAAAAACTTCTATTATCTAATGAAGTTGTAGCCTTCGTAATGTCATAACACACTACGTTACACATTTGTGGCGATGCTAGTGTATCTAAATTTACTGAACTACTAGTATAAAAGTGTAACTGACACAATTATGTTCATACTTGATTATTATCACTAATTAGTATGTCACTGATTTATGTGTTAACTACACTATATGGTTTTTTAAAATATATTTTACTGATTGTGCTATTACAGTTGTTCCATTTTAGCCCTTATTCCCCTCCCCCTGCACTCCCCTCTCACCCCCTTTCCCCTGCCTTAGTTCATGTCCGTGGTTTATACATGTAAGTTCTTTGGATGATCCATTTCCTATACTATTCTTCACCTCCCCTTCTCTATTTTCTACCTACCATTTATGCTTCTTATTCCCTGTACCTTTTCCCTCATTCTTCCCCCTCCTCCTCCCCACTGATAACCCTCCATGTGATCTCCAGTTCTGTGACTCTCTTCCTGCCCTAGTTGTTTGCTTAGGTGTTTTATATTGTTTGTTTGTTTTAGGTTCAGTTGTGGGAATTTGTGAGTTTGTTGTCATTTGACTATAGTTTTGTTCATCTTCTTCTTCTTAGATAAGTCCCTTTAACACTTCATATAATACAGACTTGGTGATGATAAACTCATTTAACTTGACCTTCTCAGGAAAGCACTTGATCTGCCCTTCCATTCCAAATGATAGCTTTGCTGGGTTGAGTCATCTTGGATGTAGGTCCTGGCCTTTCATGACTTTGAATAATTCCAGCCCCTTTTTGCCTGAAAGGTTTCTTTTCAGAAATCAGCTGACAGTCTTAGGTGCACTCCTTTGTAGGTAACTGTCTCCTTTTCTCTTGCTGTTTTTAAGATTCTCTCCTTATCTTGAATCTTGGATAATGTAATTATGATATGCCTTGGCGTGTGCTTCCTTGCGTCCAACTTCCTTGGGACTCTCTGAGCTTCCTGAACTTCTTGGAAGTCTATTTCCTTTGCCAGATTGGGAAAGCTCTCCTTCGTTACTTTTTCAACTAAGTTTTTCATTTCCTACTCTTTCTTCCTTCTCCTTCTAGCGTCCCTATGATTCAGATGTTGGAGTATTTAAAGTTGTCTGAGAGGTTCCTAAGCTTCTCCTCATTGTTTTGAATTTTTGTTTCTTCATTCTGTTCTGGTCAAATGTTTATTTATTCCTTCTGGTCCAGGCTGCTGATGTAAGTCTCGGTTTCCTTCCCTTCACTGTTGGTTCCCTGTACATTTTCCTTCATTTCACTTTTCATTGCATTCACTTTTTCCTCTATTTTGAGACTATACTCAACCTGTGAGCATCCTGATTACCATTGTTTTGAACTCTGCATCTCACACATTGGTTATCTCTTCATTGCTTAGTGGTATTTTTTGTGGAGCTTTGATCTGTTGTTTCATTTGGGCCATATTTTTTTGTCTCAGTGCTCCTGTTATGTTGTAAGGGGCAGAGCCTTAGGCATTTGCCAGAACAGGGCATCCCACCTCACTGCATTGTGGTGCTGTGGGGAAGGTGTCAGAGAGGGAACAATGCAGCTTGCTCAGCTCTCAGCGGCTTTCAGTTACTTCCCCTGCTACCCACAAACAAATTGGGCCTTTCTGGTGCTGATTCCTGGGTGGGTGGGTTTGTGGGTCTCTCAAATGAACTCTCCTGTGAGGCTGCAAGTTTCTCCCACCCCCACAATCCCCATAGGTTTTTTCAGTCAGAGGTTTTGAGGCTGTATTTCGCCATATCAGAACCCTGGGTTGTATGGTCTGCCTTGCTCCCCAGTGTTCCTCTTGGTTTATCTGCATGCAAATGTGGGACCACCCGGTCCTCCAGCTGCTGCCTTGCTACAAATCCTCTCCACCCTGGCTGCTCTTCTCTGCTCCTCCTACCTGTCTGGATGAATGTTTCTTTTTTAACTCCTTGGTTGTTGGACTTACATACAGTTCCATTCCTGGTAGTCCTGGTTGTTTTTTGTTTTTAAATTTGTTGTTGTTTTTTTTTTGGTTGAGAGAAGAGGCAAAGTGTATCTCGCCACGCCTCCATCTTGGTCGGAAGTTACACTATACTTTTTATCATTATTTTAGAGTATACATATTCTTTATCCTTATTTTAAAAACGTTTACTATAAAATAGCATGCTATGTTACATTGGCATTAGCCTCATACATCTTGTGTTCACTGGGTCTCTTGATTGTATTATTTCTCTTGTGCTTGATTTAATGTTGTGTTGTTTTATCCAGTAACATACTGTACCAACTTGTAGCCTAGGTGCAATAGGCTAACCATAGGTATGTAGTAGACTATACCATCTAGATTTCTGTGAGTACACTCAGTTATTTGCACAACAAAATCACCTAATGTTGCATTTCTCAGAATGTATCTTTATCATTAAGCAGCACATAGGTATATACAGCTGTTCCTCAAGTTAATAATGGAGTTACATCCTGATTAACCAAAACTTGAAAATATTGTAAGTTGAAAATGCATTTATTATGCCTAATACATTGAAAATCTTAGCCTAGCCAGTTTCTACTGAATGAATATTGCTTTTTCACCATCATAAAGTTGAAAAGTGTATGTTCAACCATTTAAGTTGGGGACAGTCTGTATAGCCATCTCTCCCTCATCTGTGAGTTTCTTGAAGGGAAGAATTATGTTTTATTTACATTTCCTCAGGCTGTCATAATACATATGCTTCTCAACTTAATATGGGGTTACTTCCAATAAACCCATCATAAGGCGAAAATACAGTCCATTGCCTTAGCTTGGTGGCTCAGTTGATTGGAGTGTCATCCCATGCACCAAAAGGTTGCAGGTTTGATTTCCAGTCAGGTTGCATGCATAGGTTGCGATAGTTTCTCTCTCATAGCATAGCCTACCTTAAACATGCTCAGAGCACTTATATTAGCCTACAATTGGGCAAAATTATCTAACACAAAGCCTATTTTACAATAAAGTGTTGAATATCTCATGTAATTTATTATGCATGTCACTTTGGAGCCATCATAAAGTTGAAAACTCAAGTCACAATTTCAAAAGACTGAGTTTGAAAATTATCAGTTTTTAATAACTGTTTATTGAATTGATTTTATGTAGACAGAAAGACATACTTTGTAGGAGCTAAACCTGGATTAAGCTTTGGTTGTTCTCGTATGTTTCTATTCCATGTTTCTCATAAAGTGAAATGGGAAATAATGTGCACAGCTAATATACCTATTTTACTTTATGGTTGGAGATGGAATTCTGTTTGGGTTTACTGTACAGAGGCAATTTTTGATTACTATAAAGAATATAGTTCTATTGTATGCTGTTTTTTAAAGGTCCTTTTAAAGCCCCAGTTCATGTGGCTTAGTGAGTTGAGCCACTGGGACCAAAGGGTTGCTGACTCAATTCTCAGTTAGGGTAAGTGCCTTGGTTGTGGGCCAGGTCCCCAGCTGGGGATGTGCGAGAGGTAACTGATTGATGTTTTTCTTGCACATCGTTGTTTCTCTCTCTTTCTTCCTCCCTTCCCCTTTCTCTAAAAAAATAAAATAAAATCTTTATAAAATTAAATAATATTCATACTTACCATCATTTTCTTTCTTGGAGGGTAATGATGTTAAACTCTCATCTTTTTGTAAATGAAGACTTTTCTCATCAGGTATTATTATAGATTCTCTTTCCTATTAGAAATATAAAAATATGTCATCAGGTGTGATAAAATCTAATATATTGACTGTAAAAACTGAGAAATCCTGGACATCTATTTTTCCATAGTCATAGTTAATGGCATTTCTTTTATGTTTTATTAGGATTTTATGTATTTATTAAATTATTAAGTAGTGTAAATATTTGTTTAGCTTGCTTTTCCTTTATATTGTGGGCTTCTTGAGCAGAAGAACCAGGCCTTTTTTTATTTTTACATCTCCAAAAGCCAAACTCCATAGTTCCTAAATGTTGAACATACTGAAATTCCAAATGGGAACTAAGAGAGAATTCTCTGACTTGGAATTAAAGTTTTTTTGAGGTAAAACCTAGAATGAAGATAGTGTCTTAAGATTATTATGTAAAGTAGCTCTTTTAATTATTCTTTATGGTTTTTATTCAAACTGAGTTTCTGATATATTCTGCCATGTGGAACAGAATTAAAGCACCAGTCATGTCATGTGTAAAGCACTGAGTAAGTTCTTTTTGTCTCTTCTGGAAGTGACCCTTAATTGTCCACCTGCCTCCATTAAGCCCTGGCCCTTGGAGTCCTTTTATTCCAGCCTACCCACCACACTCAGACCACTGGTCCAGGCTATTAGCTCTAGGAGAACTCAGGTCTTTGTCATTTACTCTGTCTTTCATATTCTGGGAGAGAACATAATCTGCCATTAGGCGAAAGTATATTATGTGGGGCCCTTTGGAAGCATTTTCCACCTTCAGTCTGTCTTAACTCCTTCATTCTCCTGTGTGTGTTCTGGTTGATCAGTCCCTTCCACTTTGTGTTTGTATATTAAGTGCAATGGAATTCTGCTCCACTTCATTTATATTAAGATGGACTTGTAAAGAAAGCAACATGAAGAAATGAAACAATTTCTTTGATTTACTACATTTTTGGGACCAGGGAATTTTAAAAGTATTTTTCTATCTGATTGATAGTTTCAAATCATCCATGTGAACCAGTATCTTATTATGATGGGCCCTTTTTTTTGAAGCTATGACTAGTGATACCTATTTTTTTTGTCTTAGTGTTGGACAAGAATAATACTAGCATATTAACTAACTTCATTGAATGAAATGTGATGTTAACATTTGCTCATCTGTGAGAGAGAGAGAGAAAGAAAAAGAAAGAGAGGGAGGGAGGGAGGGAGAAAGGAAGGAAGAAAGGGAGGGAGGGAGAGAGAAAAAGAGGAAGGAAGAAAAGGAAGGAAGGAAGGAGAGAGAAAGAGAGAGAGAGAAAGAAAAGAAAGAGAGAAAGGGAAAGGAAGGAAGGAATGAACGAAAGGGAGAAAGAGATGGGGGAGGGGAGGGGGGAGGGACAGGGAGAGAGAGAGGAGGAGGGAGAGAGAAAGAAAGAAGAGAGGGCAAGAGGGAGGGAGGGAGGGAGAAGCAACTATAACTGGTCATTCTTAAAATCTTTGCCATCTTATTTATAGTGGAGAAGAACTTTGAAAAAATTGACATTGTTAGATATTTGGCTGCATTTCTTATGTGTGTGTGTGTGTGTGTGTGTGTGTGTGTGCACGCGCTCGCGCGTGCGTGCAAGCGCCACTATAGGCAGGGGAAAGATACGTGCTATATTAACATTTTCCGTACCCAGCAGTGTGCCAAGAAAACCACAAGTAGTTACTTAACCCATACAAGTGGAGTATGAAAGATGTGATAGAGTATTAATTTAATGAAAGTTAACATTTACTTGGTACAAACTGATAGAGTCTCAATTGTTGATGCTGACTTAAAAAGAAAGCCCCATATTAAGTAGTTTTTCTCTTTTTGGTACTGTAAATAGTTGACATATATAAATTATTGTGAAATACTGTATATACTAAAGTAGTGATACTCTTCTATTTATTTTCTTGAACCATTCTTCTTAAAATAATAGACCTTAAACTTGTAGTCCATCTTTATTTCCCCAAATACACATCTCCTATTTTATTTTGAGATAATATAATATTTAACTGTAGAGCATCGTATAATGCTAATACTTAATATATAAATCTCAATTGGTCAGGGACCACCTTAAAGTTTAGTTTTCCTTAAATTTTGTGTTAGTTGCTGTAGATACTGTTTGGTTACCATAGGTATTATTTAATAATCTGAGAGACATGCATACTTTAAAAATACAATCTCAGGGATACTTATTTTGAATTACTTTGAATTGCTTAAAGTGCTTTTTCTTTCCTGTTACATTATGAGACACATTCAGAAAAAAACAAAAGCATGCAGTTAAATGGGCTAGACTGTTTTTTAAAAGTTAAAGTTAGAGTAGAAATAAGGTACCTTGATATTTTTTCCATCCAAGTATTGATCCTTATAATCTTGGGTAGGTAAGATTTCTTCAACATTGTCTGTTCCGTAATCAAAGATGATACGTGAGTTCTGCTGAGTTGGTGGTGCTGGCTTTGTTAGAGGCACAAACAGCAACAGAAGTGTAGACTGAAGAATCTTCATTTTAACAAAAATTAAGGTGACTGGAAGTTAATAAGATAGTAATGGCCTGCTGATTGTAGAACAGTACTCCTTTTTCCCTGAAAGTAAAAATGCAGACCATCGAAGCAATGTTTAAAAGCTTAGAGGACTTTTGGCAGGGTGTACGCAGTAGGGGCCAGAGAACAAATATTTAACCCTTAGTGATTAGATGCTAAAAGTTTTTGTGTCAGTGGTATTCTGAGAAACACTTTCAGAAAATGGTTTTATGTCTTTTCTATCAAGAAAATCCAGGCAATGTTGATAATTTCAGTTTCTTAATAATTATGTGCTATGAACAAAGTACTTTTATGGGCTTGAAATGTTAGGATACCTGTAGTATAAATAGTTAAAATGAAAACCCAAGATCCTGTCTCCTGTGAATTTAAAATATCATATTTCAACTTTGCTATTTTATAAGAACTCTTGATTTGTATTAGTATAAACAAAACAAGTTTCAAGAAAAGTTTTAAAATTCAAACTTTAAATCTAACATTATGAAAAGTAGTCATTAACACTTTTTGGTGGTACAAAATAGAGGAAAAGCTATACTTTTAATTTTCTTAATAGGTTTTTTATCTTCATAGGTATCATTATTTTTAATTAATAGAATTATTTTTTAAATCTAAACTATGAAAAATAAAAAAATAGTATTGCAGACTAGAAAAATATAGAAATGTAATCAAGGATTAGGGGAATGTGATGGGAAGGATTTAAGCTACCGGTGGATTTTATCTGGCAGTGCACATTTCAGACTTTTTCTTAGGTAATTTCAAACAGAATCACTCAGAGTTCCTGGTGCTGTATTTGTAGATGCCATTTCATCAAAAACATCAATGGTTAAAAATTAAGAATAACAAGATTTGTGACATTTGCGGCACTATTTCCTCGCCTGTAATGGATATTGAAGTTACACAATGATGTATACTAATGTACTTGTTAAAAATAATTGTTTAAGGTAACTAAAACATCAAAAAATAGAGATAACCTTTACATTTATTAAGACTGTTAGATGAGCCACAACCTAACAAATGATATTTAGGATAATATTTTTGGGGAGGGGGGCTACTATTGTAGCTGTTTTGAATTTTTTTTTTTCAGTAGATGTTCATATCTGTGCATAACCCCAAGTGGGAGGGTGAATGAGGAAAGCTGTGGATTGATTTCAAACTGCTGAGTAGAATTTCAAGGCCCAACAGCTTTAAAAGCAGTTTCCATGTGGGTAGAGATCTTTGCCAACAACATTCTTTCTCTAGGGTGAAATGTAGTGTGTTGTACAAGGAAGTATGCTTAAAATATTTGTAATTGTTGTGTTCAGTCTGTTTCTACTAATTATTGTAAGTTTGTGTTATTTTTACCTTATAAAATCAACACTAATGTTTTTGTGAATATAAGCTTATGAAGGTGACATAGTTCTAAAATATGCTTTTCATTTTAATGTTTCTACAGGAGATAAAATATTCTTTAATGAAATAATACAGCAAGCCAAAGCATAGTCTATGATCTACTTTTATTAGGAGTAAAAATATTGTTTTATACTATAATTCAATGTAAAAATTACTTTTAGCACAATCTATTTTATAATTTAGTCATTTGGGATTCCCTCCCCTTTGTACTAGTTATGCATAAAATAATCCAAGTGTCAGAATCAGCCTTTTGAAGGTATATTTGATTTATAATTTTAGATTTCATAAAAGATATTTTTGTTTCCTAAGTGAATGAAACTATAAATATTTAATATTAAGTTTACTTTTATCATGCTTTGGTACTTTTAGCAATCAAGGTAACATTTCTCCTCTAAGCCAAAAATTTATCAAATATAAATATGGATAAATATTTAAAAGTAGAAAAGTAAAGAATACTAATTTGTTCTCTTTATATTCAAAACTGGTTTAAGGTCCTTTCAAATTAAAGCTTGAATAAACTAAGGCTTGAATACTCATGCTTTTATTTGAATGTGAATTTTTAAAAATTTAGTTGTGATATTTTGGGAGTTTGATATAAATTGTCAATTTTATGGCTTTAAGGGTATAATCAACTTTTTAAAGTCATTGAAAATATCTAACTATGAACAGAAGATACTAATTTGTTTTCACATTGTTTGGCAGGTTTAACAGAATGTAGAGAGGTGAACTGAGTAGGTATTAAATGTCAGATTTAGAGAATCTTAGAGATTAGTAGTTTTACTAATGGTATATATAGTTTGATATTTTGTACTACAAAAAATTACTTTGTGGATTATATCTTTTTTAAAAAAAGTTATGACCAGGAATATAGTTCTTTTGGCATTCATTCATTTAGTAAAAGTTTATCGAGCACCAATTCTCTGCCAGAACTACAGACAAAATAAGCACAGATGAGAAAAGTTCAGTTTCTCCCCTTTTTAGTAAATCAGTGGGAAGGGCAGCTAAGAAACCATAGAATGCACAATGGAACCTACTACACAGAAATGTGCAGGCTGTAATAGCCTGAAAGAGGATGAGACGACAGAGGCTGTACCACACTGACACATGTAGAGAAAATGGGTGACAAGTGGCGATGGTGACAGAGGGTGAGATGTTCTAGGAAGGGGAGCATTACATAGGTGGGGAGGGTAAATAATTGAAAAAAGTTATTAGTTATATATGGCTGGAGCTTGAAGGGATAGAGAGAAGTGGTGAGGCAGTGGCCCATAAGTAGAGATCAGACAGAGGACTAGAGGTCAGATTTAGGGGATTGTTTTTACTCTGCTAAGGTATTTGGGCTTTATTTTGTAGCCAGTGAGAGACCACTGAAGGATTTTTGATTTTAGCCAGTAGTGATTTGATCTTATTTTAATATTAGAAATATCTCACTAATGTCACATTCCTGAAGAATACCGCTATTTGTCTACTGCATGCATTATCGACATTCATGAATGGCTTAAAATAACTTACATTTATTATCTCACAGTTTCTGTGGGTCAGGAGTCTAGGCATGGCTTTGCTTGGTTCTCTGCCTCAGGATCTTAACTGAAAGCTGTAATCAAGTCGTTGGCTAGGGCTGCACCCTCACTACAAGAGTTGAGTAAAGTAAAGGATCCATGTGTGAGCCCATGTGGTTGTTGGCCATAGATCCTTGCAGAATGTGGGACTAAGGGCCTCATTGTCTTGCCAGATGTTGGCCAAAGGCCACCCTAGTTCCTTGCAATGTGGTCTCTTCCATCAGGCAGCTCCTAACAAGGCAGGTTGCTTCTTCACAGCTAGAAAGGGAGATAGTCTTCCAGCAAGATGGACAGTATAGCCTTTATAGCAATCATGCACATATAATCACATATATGTCATCTCACCTTTGCCATGTTCTGTTGTTTAGAAGCAAGTCAGAGGTCACAGCCACTCTGAAGGGAAAAAACAACACAGGACAAGAAACTAAACATATTCAGATTTGCACTGGTTAAAAAACCCATCTTCTTGCCCAGAGTTAGCCAAACACAGATTGAGGACATAGTCCCCAAGACCATCCTCACTTCTTACATCAACTGCAAATTTGGGGGGGTTCTCAAAACCACCCACACTTTTGATAATTTGCTATAAGGACTCATAGAACTCACTGAAAGTCATTTTAGTTATGGTTTATTAGGGAAGAATACACATAAATATCAGCCAACTAGAGATACTTTAGGCAGAATCTGGGAGGGTTTCAAAGTGCAGAGCTTCCATTGTCTCTCATTGCATTACCCACCTGGCATTGATGTGTGACAACATACCTTGCCAACCAGAAAAGTGTTACCAAACCTTGCTGTTCAATTATTTTAAAATTGGGGCTTTATTACATAGGCATAATTTATCAAGTGTCCACATGGTTGAACTCAGCATCCAGGTCGAAACTGATACTGCATGACCCAAAGTCCCCATCCTAAGTCACGTGGTCTTGCTGTCTCTTTCTGATATGACCACCCCAAACCTAAGACTATCATTGTGTGACTGGTTCTGCCCTAAGATCTTGGTGTGATGACTTCAGTTCTGAAGAAAGATATTTGTTACCTCTCTTTGGGGTAAACTTCTTTACTGTACAGTTCCCAGAAGAAAATATGTTTGACATTTACATTGTTTTCTACTCTACAAAGAACTATTATATCCTAGTAGAAAGCTATTTGGCTTTCGCTGCACAGTAATAAAAGATGAAAGTTGTCTAAGGCTCAAGAGCAGGCATTTATCCAAAATTGAGTGAGTTTTCTCTGTGGAATTCTTTTTGGTGACCCTACTGCATTATTCTTTGTACCTTTGTAGAATTTTGTATTCTTGAAGGTGTCCCATCATGCTTTACATTCTACTTCCTTAATTATCTCTCAGCAGCAGGCAACCAAAAATGTGTTGAATAGAATTGAGTGTTGGAAAGAAGGTGTTGTTTATTTTTTTCTAATTGTTGTTCAAGTACAGTTGTCCCCATTTCCCTCCACCCATTACTCTCCCCTCCCCTACCCACCATCCTCCTTGTACCCCTTCCTCTGCCGTTGTCTTTGCCCACGGGTCCTTTATACATGTTCCTTCACCCTTCCCCTTCTTTCCTCGGTTATCGGCCCCCTCCCCTCTGGTCAGGAAAGAAACGTTTTCCAGGAGAATTTTTCGTTTTATTTTTATTTTTTTGGAGGAGAAGGATGCTTAGTTTTACTGACAGAACAAGTAACTAATAAGTAGACTGAGTTTCAAAAAACTACAAATGAGAAGAGTCTTTTCTTTATTTATCCTCTAACTTTACTGGAAGTAGTTTAACTTAGGAGTCAGAATATGTAAGCATTAGTTCTGGCTTTATTTTCTTTATCTGTTAGACTAGAATCCAGTTCCTGTAGTTTCTTAACCTCATTACCATTAAATTTTGGACTGGATATTTTTTTTGATAGGGACTGTTACGTGCACTATAGGACATTTCAGCAGCATCCTGCTCTCTGCTCACCAGAGGCTAGTAACCCATTTTCTACCCACCCTCACAGTGACAACCAAAATTTGTCTCAAGACATTGATTGCCAAATGTCCCCTGAGGGTAAAATCATTCCCATTGGGAACCACTGAGTTGCCAGATATTTATAGATCCTTTAAATACAATATTCTAGGATTTTGTGGAAAGTCTATGGTTTGAATCTCCATCTCAAATCTCATGCTCTTGG